TCATTGGGCATGATGCTTTCTTAATTTTGGCTGATATGAATTGGCTTAGTCCTTGCACAGTTGTTATCAGTGATACCAGATTGATTTTCAACCCCGAAATTCAGGACAAGCATTCAATTCGGAGGTCCTAAGCCAGATATTTCCAGACAGATTTTACTGTGTGCTGCTGATTTATGAAGGTGCCTGGCAGCTTGATGACATCTCACTGTGTCTTCGTGGCCATACCCCCGCCCCCCTCCGCCATTACCTAGTCTCCCCACCACCCCGAGGAATGTGACATTAGTGTTGACCAACAGCCAATCAATACTCGAGGTTAGCGTATTAGCTTCACACAGCCACAGGAGGCGCTGTCAAGTTACGATTGATAACAGAAAGAAAGGGTGGCGCAGAAAAGGCAAGCAGAGCAGCTAACAAGGCCAAATACGGCAAACACAAATACCGTATTTTCCGCACAAAAAGGTACACTGGATTATGAGGCGCACTTTCAATGAATGGGCTATTTTTAAAAAATTTTTCAGATATTGGACGCACTGGATTATAAGGTGCAATCTACAATGCATGCACTAGATGGAGCTACGCTCCTTCCGTTCAACTCGAGAGGTGTTCATGACCACCTCCGAAAAACGTAAATTAACATTACTTCAATGAAACTACGAAAATTGACAATGCATCAAAACAGAAAATCAAGCGAGGAAATCACAAAATAAATTCTATAGCCCCCCCCCTCCCCTTGGCATTTCCTTGAGCGTAGCTCCAACAGAAGGATCAGACGTCAGTAACATGTAGGAGACTGGACTGTCTCAGAAGTGTTTGCTATTTGTTCCTTTGTTGTGTAGTCACAAACGAGGAAATCACAAAATAAACTCTGTATGGGGGCTATAGATTTTATTTTGTGATTTCCTCGCTTGATTTTCTCTTTTGATGCATTATTTTCAATTTTTGTAGTTTCATTGAAGGAATCGTTAATTTACGTTTTTCAGAGGCGGTCATGAACGCCTCTCAAGTCGAATGGAGGAAGAGAAGGCACGGAGACGGACAAAGACGTACCCGTATTTGTTGAGACTGTGAAAACCATTCACAAAGTGTGTGTTTTAAAAAAAACAACACCACAGCTCTCTTTTTTCGGAGCTGCAACAAAAAATTCAATAAATCAGCGACACGGTTCACTGAACCAACAGCAAGTTATAACATTGTAAGTGTAACTATCCCGGTCAAGGATGACGCTTCAACTGATGTCCAGAAAAACGTTTAATCTTGGAACACCGTGAAAACTAAAACACATTTCAAACAACAATCAAAATTACAATATCTTGAACAAGACATTAAATAAATAAACACAAAATGACATACCGTGTGCACCTTAGTAAACCGAAAGTAGATCAAATTAAATCACGGAGACCACACGGTATCGTAGCTCTGTCTCTGTCTCTCTCTCTCTCCAGTTTTCTTCTCGATCTTTCTAATTCCTCACTATCCGCGGCACGTGACCCGGAAGTGATTCTTAACAAAATATTCCAAATAACATATTAAGAGGATTTAAAGAAAAAACAAATGTGAAAATTCACATAGAAATATAAAGTACTTTTAGAAAACAACAAGCCTAAATAAATCAACTTTGGACTGCTGAACATCCGCTCACTCACGAACAAGGGACAACTCATCCAAGACGTCCTCGCCGAACGCAAACTTGACTTCCTCGTTTTAACAGAAACCTGGCAACAAACAAACGACTTCGCTGCTCTGAATGGCTCCACTCCTCCCGGCTTTGTTTACATCTGCTGTCCCCGTGGCAGCGGCCGTGGAGGAGGCCTCGCGGTAATCCACCGCGAGAACTGGAAAGTCTTGCTTGTCTCCGTCCCTGCATCAAGCTCTCTTGAATGCCTGGTGTTTAAGCTCCCTGGACCCTCGCCAACCATCATCGCCACAGTTTATCGCCCCCCAAAGCCACATAGTGATTTTATCAATGAATTTTCCAGCTTAATCACACATTTATCCACTTTCTCGCCAAATTTAATTTTGCTGGGAGATTTCAATATTCACATGGACAACCCCCTCTCGCCAAATTTAATTTTGCTGGGAGATTTCAATATTCATAGGGACAACCCCGCCCTGCCACTCACCAGAGACTTCACATCCTGCCTGGAGAGCCTCGGGATACACTGTTTTTTTTGACTTCCCGACCCACATCAAAGGCCACACATTGGACTTGGTTTGCTGCTCTGGCCTCTCCCCCTCCAAGCCCACTGCTGATGTTTTTCCTGAAACCGATCATTTCCTCCTCACTTTTAACACCGTACTCCGTCTCTCTACAATCAAAACCTCCCGCCTCATTTCTTTTCGTAATACCAAAAATATCAACATCGACACCTTCTGCTCCATTATCGACCGTTCCCCGCCCCCAGACACTCTTTTAAACCCGGATGACCTCACCGCTCACTACAATGCCTGCCTCACAAATATCCTAAATTCTCTTGCCCCCCTGAAGACCAGGACTGCCTCATTCTCAACATCTGCCCCCTGGTTTACACCCGCTCTTAGGTCAATGAAATCAAAAAACCGCCAACTGGAGCGACTCTATAAGAAAACCGGTCTCACCATCCA